ATAAATTATTACCAGGGATTGTTTATGTTTATTTGTTCTAATTATCTAGGCAAAATTGCATATAAAAGTATCAATTTTGCTATTTGCGTTTAAATCACCACATTTCTTATGTTTTGCACATTGAAGCATAAATTTAACTCCGTTAGATTGGAGTTGACTTGGCACAGACGGAAAGTCTACGTGGCTGTCTTGCCACAAACAAAAAGTCTAACGGAAGTTGAACTTATGCTTCGATTTGCTAAACATTTCAAACATATGAAAGGTGATAGTGATTTAAATACAAATAGGAAAATGTGGTGATTAAATTGCAAAAAGCTTAAAGATGGTGCCTGCAGTTTGCCAATTAGTTATTACCTGGGGCAATATAGCCAAAGGTTCCAGCAACACCAGAGACAGTGTTCGGATCGCCTTTCTTCATCAAAATCTTGGCTAGACCAAAATCAGCAACTTTGGCCTCAAAATCAGAGTTGAGTAAGATGTTGCTCGATTTCACATCCCGATGGATAATGGGCGGATTGCAATCGTGATGCATATAGCAAAGGCCCTGGGCAGCACCGGTGGCGATTCTTAGTCTGGTCGGCCAATCTAAAACGATGTTGTTAAAGGATCTATCGTGTAGCCATTTATCAAGACTTTGGTTTTCCATGTACTCGTACACAAGAAGCTTAGAGTCGTGGCTCGAGATGCAACAACACAAGAGCTTCACAATGTTGGAATGGCGAACCGAACCAAGAACTTGAATCTCGGCTTGAAATTCTTTCTCGAGCAAATGATCCTTTTCCATGCCGCTCCAAATCCTCTTGACGGCAACACATTGGTTTTCAGGGCCGACTACGATTTTGTAAACTTCACCCGAGCGACCACTGCCGATCAAATTACTTTCGGCCAGACTAGACAGAATATCGACCTCGGTGAAATCCAATCTTTGAAAAGTCACAAATTCCCATTCGTCTGATGTTATGTCAGTCGATAGGCGACTTTCTCTGCAGTACTTGACTAAAAAACGTGTCATGAAGATGGCAAACAAACAAAATACGATTGCTGAAAGTAGAATCACGACAAGAGTTCCCGTTAAAAGCTCCCTTGTGCTTCTGAAGCAATTGGAAAGATTGGAGATTTTATTCGCAGAACAAAGATTTAGATTGTTCAAGAAACTCTTGTCGTACGCCAAGTTATCAAGCTCAACAGGAATTCTTCCTGAGAGGTGATTTGAAGAAAGGTTTAGTGAAGTGAACTTCAAATGTCCTAATTCAGACGGGATATCACCCGAAAGCTGATTAAAGGACAAGTCCAAGTCAAGAAGAAGTGGCAAAGAACCAAACACGGGTGGGATTGGACCAGATAATTTATTCCTTGCAAGATGCAGAGTCGTAAGAGACTTCCATGACAGTATCTCAGACGGTAATCCACCCGAAAGTGAATTTCCATCGAGTAACAAAGTGGAAAGGTTACGCAAACCAGTCAATCCTTTGGGGATCAGACCAGATAATTGGTTGTTACTTGCCTTAAACACCACTAAACTTTCCCATGGCAATACCTCACCCGGAATTTCACCGGAAAACTCATTGTTACTGATCTCCAAACGGGACAAGCCGGGAGCTATGAGTTTACTCGGGAGCTCTCCCGATAAATTGTTATCACTCAGCATTACAGAAGTTAAATTTATTAGAGACCAAAGGCCTGGAGGAACTTCACCTGATAAGTTGTTATCATGCAGCAAAATCAAATTTAAACTTTGGCAATTTCCAAGTGATACTGGAATCGTCCCGTTTAAGTTGTTTCGTTCGGCACTCACCCAGGTAAAAGCACCACCCGCGCACAAATTTTCCGGCAAATTTCCAATGAAATGATTGTTTGAGACTTGAAAAGATTTGAGTCTCGAGCGACTGCCCATTTCAGGCGGCAAAATTCCACTCAAATCATTCATGAAAACTTTGAACGTCTCGAGGCTCGGTAATAGCCCCAGGCTTTGGGGAATTTCGCCTGAAAACCTATTTATGCACAGGCCTAAAAGCTCCAATTTCTCCAACTTCCCAAAATCTTCCGGGATTTCACCAGTCAAGTTGTTTTCGGATAAATCGAGACTGACCAAATCCAGCGAATCGATCGACTTAGGAATAGTACCCGAAAACCTGTTTAAGTACAGATAAAGAATTCTCAGCTTCTTCAAACGGAGCAAATCTTCCGGAATCGGACCGTCCATGTTATTCATGGACAGATCTAAATGCTCGAGGCTCGATATATTCACGAACGTGTCAGGAATTCTCCCGATCAATTTCGACTGCGCCATCCACAGAAACTTTACC